AATTACAGAAATAATTTCATCCTGATTCTGCACAAGTTCCTTTTTCCTTGTGTAAATAGAACAATTATCAATTTGCTCTCCTGTTTGAGATCCTCGAAGTAGAAATTCAACTAAGTATGGTTTATTATTAACTTATGAAGCATAAGCAATCAATAAAATGCCTGCAAAGGATAAAAGTAAAAGAATCATGTGTTATTGTTTATAGAAAAAAGGTTCAACCTTCCGTACAATTTTTCTTGTTTTAAGTATTCTGGCCCTCAGTCCTCTTAGAAATGTATCAGTTATATACACTGTTGACATAATTTTTACAAAAATAACAACCAGTAAAGAACTCACTTAAAATAGAAAGACATATCTATTTTATACATAAAATAATTCATTTCCAAAACTAATTCAAATGCTACTTTATATGAAACTTAAAGCAAAAACATAAAATCATGTTGTACACAACATTTCAATTTGATTTAACATTGCTTCCTATAATACATAGTGATTGGTTAATTTTCTATTTTTCTAAACTTACCCATTTTTTTAAATCTAAGGATTAAATTGGATTTTTAGCTACTACAGGTAGTCCTTACTTATCACCAACAATTGTCACTAAGCAATACAATCATTGTGAAGCATTATGTGACATATGGCCACACTTGGAATACTGCATCCAGTTTTGCATCACCACGATGTAAAAAAGATGTTGAGACTCTAGAAAGAGTGCAGAGAAGAGCAACAAAGATGATTAGGGGACTGAAGGCTAAACATATAAAGAATGGTTGGTGGAACTCGGTATGTCTAATCTGATGAAAAGAAGGACTAGGGGTGACCTGATAGCAGTGTTCCAGTATCTCAGGAGTTTCCACAAAGAAGAGGGAGTCAAAGCTATTCTCCAAAGCACCTGAGGGTAGGATAAGAAGCAATGAGTGGAAACTAATCAAAGAGAGAAGCAAGTTAGAACTAAGAATAAATTTCCTGACAGTTAGAACAATTAATCAGTGGAACAACTTGCCTCCAGAGGTTGTGAATGCTCCAACGCTGGAAGCTTTTAAGAAGAGATTGGATAACCATTGGTCTGAAGTGGTGTAGGGTTTCCTGACTAAGCAGGGGGTTGGACTAGAAGATCTCAAGTTCCCTTCCAACTCTGCTATTCTATTCTATCAGTTCTGTAAGTTGTAGCCATTTAGCAATCACCCATGGCCATTAAGCACCACTTCACATAGCTGTGTAGTCACTGCCAGCTTCTCCATTGACTCTACTTGTTAAACCAGGTATGAAATGTTCAAATGGCAATCTCATGACCACAGGGAAGCTACCATGGTTGTAAGATCAAGAACTACACGGTAGTTGTAAAACTGTTAGTTGTATGTTTGCTTAGTCATTAACTGAGAACTATGTTATTTCATGGGCCACATAACAACAGATTTTTTAAAAAAATTTGGTCATTTGTACAAATAGAACATTGTAGATAACTGCAGAATGCAACCCAAAATTGAAAAAGTTTCCAGTATTCACTCTTTATTAAATGAAATAATAACAAAAGCCACTGGAGAAAAGCAATGAGCCAACATGCTCAAGCATAAGTAATTATCAGAATCTACCTTTTGGCAGTCAGGAGTACCAAATTATTTTTCTGCTGTTATCATGTTCACAGATAGCCAGGGATGCATGGCTTGAAGGACTATATATATATATATGGCCATTGTAAAAAGTATTCTAGATATCTAGTGTATAACGTTACTATAGACATCTAGCACGCAGTTACTCAAATCCACTTTGACCTAGATTGTAGCTATGAAAAATCATATGAAATTTGATGGGACATGATCTAGCTGTGATATCTGAAAAGTGTTTAAGTCTATTTGTCTTGGGGAAATAGAAAGAGTTCTCAGAACTGGGAGCTTGGCTATCTATATGTTAACCCATGTTCATACTGGCTAGTCAAGGATTCCCAAAAGGTGATATATGGCTGGTTCTGGCCAGTAATTTAATCCTTTAGTAGGGGGCAGGTCCTCTTGGATTTAAAAATGAAAGGCTACCAGAATGATATGGAAAAAGATGCCCCATGGAATATACAAAAGAAATTGACTGATGTCTTAATAATTAAAAGGAATAAATTATATCATTTACTATATCAGATTTAGAAAAAAGTTTTGAATAATTTTGTCAGAAAGTACTAAGGAAAACTGAAAAAAATCAAGTTTAGGAGATTGTTTGATGGAATTAAAAATCAAGATTGTTAAAAGTAAAAAGAAAAAAAAATAAGGTTGGTTGATTAGATTAGATTAAATCTAATTAATAATCTTGTTATCTCTGGTAAACCTTAATAGAATTTTTGCTGAACAAGACTTTTAAACAATTTGTTTAGAGCATGTTTTCGCTGGCACTCAGGCCGCCACAAGCGCCCCAACATACAAGACGTCGAGTTGGCCACGCTCCCCTGGCCCCACCCTCCACCCAAGATCAAACACAACCCTGATACGGCCCTCAATGAAATCAAGTTTGACAACCCTGCTTTAACTAGTAGCAGCTATTTGGAGTCACAACGGACATTCCAGAAACCTCATTACAAGTTATCCTCATTTAGTGACCACCTTGTAGAAGTGTTTACAGTTATGATGGTGCTGACGAAAGTGATTGTGGCCATTCCTTGCATTTACGACCTCTGCAGGTCTGTAAGCAAAGGAAGGCTGAAGTAAGATCATAAGCACAGTTGCTGTTTTACTTAGCAACCACTTCAGTAATTGTCAATCCCAATTTCTAAACGATGCCATATATTTTAAAAAGAAAAATTCAAGATGCCAAGGATTGAACCAAGAAATTCTATATGTAAAGCAATTATTTAACTACTAAGGTATTGTCCCTTCAACACATGAAAACTGCACTGAACGTTGTTCCCTATTCTAAGCTACTGATATATCAATGGTCAACATGCCACTTTATTTCCATCTATTTGGTTGATGGGAAAATTTGCATTCAAAATGATCTGAGAGATCATAGATTTATAAATATATTTTTACTATTTATATGTAAGATACAGTATTAGTTGATTTCATGTTTTTATTGCCTACTGGTTTTGTTTCTAATTGTTGTATACTCAATATAGAATAATAAGTGAAATGAGAAAAAGGAGGAGAAAACAGCACATGAATTGTATTCATCTTGATGGAAAACAGAGTAACTGTTCATTCATTCAGACTCAGCTAAAGAGAAACCAAGCTGATGATGACTGAGTTCATATATCACACAAAGGCATGGTTTGCTGAACTGCAATTTCATTATGAAGTCATTATTGACTGGGTTTGGGTTAACACTAAGCTAAAATCTAATAAAAATTGCTTAGCAGCACATGAGAAAAAAACTCTATAGTTTCATGCTTTGGCCAACACAGATTATTTCTTTTCTGCTTTCATAAACTTCTATTTGATCAGGTACTGTGATTCGCTTCATCTATTATCCCCTTCTGCTGAATCCTCTATTATATTCTCATCCAAAAATATTCAGCCTTATTTTGTATCTTCTTTGAAGTAATTTCTTCTAGATCAGTTATTTTCACTTCCAGTCTTTTTAGTTTGCTTCATAATTCTGTGATAGCATAAAAACTAATGCAATGGTTGCATCAAGAACTTACTTACCATAAAGATTTTAGCTTTTCTTCTTGCAAAGGCATGTGCCTCCATTTTAGCTATTTTTTAAAACACTGCTTCATTCTTGTTTCTACTACCACAGTGAAAACATAAAAAGCTTCCCCCAAAAAAAAAACTAATTCAAAAATTCCTAACTAATATAAGGATTTTTAGGAGTCATGTCCTATAAGCAATCATTTTGAGAAAGAGGCAAGAAAGAAACATTTTTTCCTCAATATATGCTTCTCTATTTATTCTGAAAAAAAAATTACTGTAAGGGAAATTTGTGGCTGTCCTTTATCCATTTTCCACTTACTCAGTCTTGAAATTTCTACTAATAGAGGAGAATATTTCTAGTTCAGCACTCTAGCATTCTGTACCAGTTGAAGTTTCTGAATGCTCTTCAAGGGCAGTTCCTTACAGACCACATTGTAATAATTCAAGGATGAGGTAATAAAGGACTGCTGATACAGGAAAGGCTGCAACTGGCATACACTTCAATCTTTCATTCCCATCAACACCGATTGGGACTGGCTTTGGAGAAATAAGTCAAACCAACACAAAACTGTGCTTCCCAGCCCAGACTCCATAGGATATCATAGTCGATGGTAACAAAGGCTGCTGAGAACTCAAGGGGAACAAGGATAGTTGTACTACTCTTATTCCGCTCTCACCAGAGTTCATCCACAAAGGCTGTAACTGGGCCTGAATCCTGACTGAAAGGGGTCCATATGATCAGTTTCATTCAAGAGCCTCTGAAGTTGCCAAGCAACCACTTTTCTGCCACCTTTTCTAAAAAGGGAAGAAGAGAAACTCGATGAAAATTGTTCAGACAGGCAGGATCAGGTGATGGTTTTTTGAGGAGGCAAATCAGTGACTCCTTAAAAGTCCCTCCAAGCATCCCCTCCTCCAATGAATAATTTATTGCCTCCTGAACCTGCCTGTTAGTCAACCTCTTGGAAGCTTTCACCAACCAAGAGGGAACAAAGATCTAATTGGCAGGTGGTTGCACTTACAGGACTGAGGATCCTATCCACTTCCTCAATTCCAGCAGGATTGAATGTTTCTGTTTGAGCTTTTTCATTGTCTCTTTTGGATAGTTGTTTATATGTAGATTTAATCATACTTTCAACTAGAAAACTGTGAATATATAAACCAAGCTAAGTCCAAAAATGCTAGGAAATTCTTGAACTCTTCACTTGAAATTTCTGTTATTAATAAACCAGATGTGGGTTGATCAGGTGTCACAAAGATAACAATCTAATTGTGTGTGATATCCTGTGCAAAATATAAGAATAATTGTGCAGAGTTCTTATTTCTTTCACATTTCCTAAAATACTACATTTTATGACATTACCTCCCATCCTTCAATGTGAGACTGACATTCCTCTAAAACCTCTAATTTTTCCATCTGTCTCTTGGCTTCATTTATGTTGGAACAAACAGCTTTCATTGTTTGCAGAGCTTCCATTAAGATAGAATAGTCACTGTGCTTTTTGGGAGTGCGCTTCAACAATTCCTTTTTAAAAATAAATAAATAAAATCAATTATTATACTCTTCTCAAAATGGAAGTCAAATATTAAAACTTCACTTTCACGATAAAGCTATAAAACCATGTCTATTCATTTGGGAATAAATTCTGTTGAGGTTATAGACACCTTAACATTGTGATATCAAACTAATCAAGAGATTAAAACTACATAATTAGTATTATCCATTTTCATTAAATGCATAGTTTCCAATTCCAATCTTTAAGATGCTTGATCATATTTGAATCCTGTTTCATTTGGATTCATATTTTCACTATTTTTATAAGAGCTATAATCAAATACCAAAACATTCAGTTCTAATATTTTATAACCTCAGGAGCCATACAATGAATATGGGCATTTATGCCTACATACGATTTGTCTTGTTACTGCATCTGCAAATAGCCAACCAGGAACTCTATTCAAAATTATTCAGTGGTAAAAGTGAGTAGATTTGAAGTAGGCTACTATATAGAAGTACAATGACTCCAGAAATGATCCAGCCATACTTGTGGACAGAATTCCATTTTTCCATTCTATTCCATTTCATCATTCTGAACAGGATTCCAATTTATATACGCCTCTCAGAGTTACTTGTTTATTGAAATGGACAACTATATAAATTGGTCAAACAAAAGAATATGTTGTACTTTCCCATATGGAACTCCCTCTTTTCCTAGACTCACAGCTCCTACTTCAGCAGCAGATGTAGTTCGTAACGAAGAAAACCTTTGTTTATTACTTCTTGTGCATCACTATGACCCCATTCTAAACCTTGAGGCATTATATAGCACCACTCATCTCCTTGTCACCTCACAATTGGATAACTATAGGCGCTATGATTCCAAGAACATTTTACACAAAGAAGATAAGTAGAAGTATAGTCCCCTAAACCCTAAATAGCTTTCAGCTATTTTTCCAGTTGAAATAAGAAAACTTATAGGCACAAAGAAGTTTTAGCAATAGCCAAGTATTTTTTCCAAAAATCTCCATCCAGGGATCTTCATTTTATAGAAAGAATCTCAATAGTGTTGACATACTATGTAGATTCCATCTTTTGTTTCTGTGCATAATGGGTATTATTATACCCTTTAATAAATAATAATCTCATTTGTTTGTGCAAACAGATTTTTATTTCCAAATGACAAACAAAATGCAGAAAATAAAACAATTTCCATGTAAAACATATTTTCATACTTCTTCAAACAAAAACATATACCTTCAAAAGAAGAGGATACTTGCATATTCTCTGGATTGGTGTTACCAAATAACCTTCTAAAGGTACCTCTGTACTCTTCCGTCCTCCTAACAGCATGCAGTTCTAAGAAAGGAATTAAATCATATATATTTGTCTGTTTGGCTACATACATCACTTAGAGATAATTTAAAAATATAATTGAGATTTGGTAGACTTTTGCCTGGACATACTTCCTGACTATCTTTCATAGACACAAATAAAATGAAATAGAACAGACTTTAACATTCTACCTGAGGAAAATATAATTTATACTTGATAAAATAAAGTATACCTATGTTATTTATAATAAAACACTGAAATTTTAATTAACTGCAGAGCAAAACTTTGTATCATTTTATACATATTATGGTAAAGTTCTGACCTACTCATCCTTTGCTTGTTAAGGCCAAAGATAAAGTGCTGTTCAGTGCCGACACAAAGTCAAGGTTATAAACTCAAATTCAGAACAATAGACAACACATCTCTTAGCACATAATGAGTTTATAGGATTCACAATTATAAGATCAAGTGATCATATACCATTTTATTGGTCTACACCATTTTATTAATAGCTGTTAGCCACATTGTCTATACGTAACATCCTCATTAAGCTTTAGTGTAATACCTGTTGCAGGGTAAAAACAGGAAAAGAATGTTATGTTGTTGATTTGAGCTCTGAGCTTAGCTATTTGGTTGCAAATGTTTCGTCCCCATTCGAAGAGACATCTTCAGTGTGTTTTGGATTGTGCTTGTCGGGGGAGCACTGAAAGATATTTAAAGGCCAGTGCTCCCCCAGACAAGCGCAATCCAAAGCGCACTGAAGATGTCTCCTTGAATGCGGATGAAATGTTTGCAACCAAATCACTAAGCTCGGAGCTCAAATCAACAACATAACTACCAGCCTGAGCTACTAATATTCAAAGACATTTCAGAAAAAGAATGTATTGAGCAGAGGACAAACTTCCACTACTGAAAACAAGGCACTTCATTTCTATTTACCGTGTTAATTGGGATTAATTTAAAAGTTAACAACATTTGAATAGCTGTAAATTCTGGGAAGTAGGATGATGAATAAAGTGGGCATTTATTCTCATTCAGCAGACCTCTATTTATTTAGCATTCAAAAACTTACATATCACTTGGTAATGTGCGTGTGCATGTGTGTGTGCGTGCACACCTGAATCATTGCTGACTCCTGGAAACTGCCTAGATTAGTACCTGAAATATTCTTGGCAAGATTTCATAAGTGATTTACCTTTCCATTCTTTCTAGGGCTGAGAAAAGTGATTGGCCCAAGGTCACACCACTGGCTTTATGCCTAAGGCAGGCTGAATTCACCGTCTCCTGGTTTTAAGCCCAATGCATTAACCACTATACCAAACTGGCTTTCCTTAGAAGTAAATTGCAATCAAATTACCACCCAAACCAGAAGATAGGGATATAGAATACAAAACAAATATTTATTTACCAGTAAAAATGTCCGTACTGTTTTTATTTTGTTAAGTTCAAGCAAAAGCTTTTGTGCCTTTTCATGATTGCTGCAGTATTCATCATAGATACGAAATCTGTCTCTCTGAATAAAAAGTTTTTAGGTTAGTTATTTTGGTCATATTTTAGATATTTTTAAAGGAATAATATAAATAAAACTATAAACCAATACAGTGTCTGTGAACTAATATAAAACACAATTGGTTTACAACAAATATTTACATGTTGACAAATCTATTTATAAAAAATCAATACAAATCAGTTTATTAAAAAAGTCCTTCATTATTATTATTTTTTTGTTTTATAGTTAGGTTCAAGGAAGTGTTTGTATGTTCTCATGGTTAAGACCAAGCTCCCATATGGTACCTATAGCACAATGAATATCTAGTGTAACTTTATAGAACTATGCATTTTAAAGTCAGTGAAATTACTGCTGTTCACTTATATGTCAAATGTATTCTAGTGGTGTAAAAAATGTTATCTGCATATTACTGGAGGGGAAGTTATTCAAGACAAATGTAAAAAAAGTGATTATTGTTCAAACATGCTAGGCCTGATTCATGAAAATCATGATGACGCCTACTCTTTCTACTGAATAGGCTGCAAATTCAGCTTCCAAGTGTCCTTAAAAGATCTCATAAATTATGCAATCAAGATCATTTTGTCCTCTAAGTGGAGTATACATGAACTACCATGCCAGCAATTATTTTTTTAAAAAAGGAACACTGGAGAAAAGAATATAATCAATTACATAAAGCTTATATTACTGGTTTTGACATACAAAGTGGAGAAAGCAGGATCCCACTTCTTGTTGCGAACTGGGTTCAGGATGCAGACATTCTTCAATCTTAGACAGGAAGTTCTTGTGAACTTCTAGAATATCTTCAATATTTGAGAACAATGTCTGTAAGTAAGAAATCCAGAGTATAAATAAATCAATTTGAGAAACAATAAAAAGGAAGTGAAAACAAATAAGAACGAACCTTAACCGTTTCCTCTGTTACATTTTTATCAATCTTAGTAATAGCACACTGCATTATTCTGTGAAGGAATGCCTGGATAGAAGGAAAAAGAAAAAGAAAGAAATTAATAAGACACTAAAGTATTAGACATGTAGACCAGAACAGCTAAATAAATAAAGTGATACATTTTGACATGAGGGTTAGCATCTTTTTGCAACAATACACACACACACACACACACACACACACACACACACACAACTAGCAAAGATCTCAGACTCACCAAATTATGAGCTCTCAAATTATCACAGATTGTGTGATTTCATAAAATTTCAAAATACTTAGGTCAGATAAGTATCATTCTGTTCATCCCTGGCCTATGAAATCACTGAATGTAGATGCTATATTATTGTAGTTTGAAAAAAACACATAATACATCCTGAAGCCAAAAAAAAAGTTACTTGCAAATACCTAAAATTATTCCAGCAGCTCAGGATGCCATTCACTCGTCACAAAACCAGTTCAAAAACCTCCAATTCAATGTACAGCTGCTGAGTTTTTATTTGCTAATATATTAAGCACAACATGGAAAAAAAAACACAAGAGACCACAAATAATATATATCCTTAGCCAGCTGATGTTGACACAATAGATATATTTTCAACTGAAAGCAACAGGAGAACTTGTCCGTATTTGCATTTTTTTTCACGTAAAAAGCTGAAAAGATTTTAAAGCCCTGGATGCTAAAACATATAAAGAACAGTTGCTGGAATTGGGTATGTCTAGTTTCATGAAAAGAAGGACTAGGGGTGATATGATAGCAGTGTTCCAATATCTAAAGGGTTGCTACAAAGAGGGAGTCAACTTATTCTCCAAAGCACCAGAAGGCAGGACAAGAAGCAACTAATCAAGGAGAAAAGCAATATAGAACCAAGGAGACAGTTAGAATAATCAATATGTGGAACAACTTGCCTCCAGAAGTTGTGGAAGTTTTTAAGTAGATATTGGACAACCATTTGTCTGATATGCCTGAACAGGGGGTTGGGCTAATAGACCACCAAGGTCCCTTCCAACTTCTGTTATTTTGCTCTGTTAGTCTTTATACCCAAAGACCATTGTACATTTAATTTCGTTGTATGAGGTGCAACGACAATAAAGTAAACTAAATTATGTTACTGAACTGCACATTATATTATCCAGAGTAGCTCAATCCTTAGTTAGAGATTTCAACAATAGCTATATAGCTTTGTTTTGTTTATATAAAGCTAAGAATAGCACCCAGATATTTCTTTTCCTCTTTTTTGATATGCATTGAGATACTGTTTTGCGAGATGATCGTTTTGCAGACCAGAGTAAAATCTGTCCAACCATATAAATAGTGATGTAAAATCTAATACATTTGACAGGTAATAACTACAAAGAGCAAGATATTTTTTCTTTCCCTGTTATTTTTGTGATATATGCAAAAAGTAAGCAAATATAGTTTGATGGTTTTTTTAAAAAAGAATAGAGTTAATGCTTTAACAGAAGGGGTTGGAGATTTCTTTTGCTTCTACAATAGGCAACAAACTTAAATAGCCACAAACCATCTGGACTTATGTATTGTTTTTGAAAAGCTAAGCTTCTTTCCAGAGAACTACCTGACATATAACACACAATTTTTGACAATTAAATGTATCTCCGATCACCAACAACTAAAATGTTTAAGAAAGAGCAAGAGAGTCAAAATTTGAAGGAGTATTTAATCTGACCAAAAATATATTACTACTTTAGGAAACTATAAATCTATTTTATTGAAGCCTAACTCCAAAAAAATTACTATAGGTTCTTCCCTCACAATAACTATGTTGAAAGATTGAATTATCTGAGAATATACCTCCTCTGTTTTTTACATTACATCTGGTGCAGTATTAATGTATGTCGGTAAAACAGTTAGGAAAAAGGTGTATTTCACCAATTATTTTTGACAATCATGAATAGCAAATAGCAATAGCCTTGGCTACTAAAACATTTCCTTATATATACAGAGTATTTCCTTATACCATCAGATTATTTTTCATAGAGTCAGCATTGCCTATTCTGTCTTCAGAAGTTGTCATTTCAATTTGCAGAGACGAGAGATTTTTGCACTTACACCAGCACAAATACATCCAATTAGCACAAGCATGTATAGATGTGGACTCAGCTTTTAACTACAGTGAAACAACTCTTGGGAATAACCAAAGTAATTTGGACAAAAATATGGTCAACATATCAAATAAATAAATAAATACATACATACATATTTTGCTTGTGATTACAAGCAATTGTAGATTGAAGCAATTAGTCCCTGCTCTTTTTCAAACAATCCATTTTTCATCAGCAATATTTTCTTCAAATGTTTAAAATTATTGCTAACTTTATTGATATATTCCATTTCCCAAACTTCATTCAAAGTGTGTGTGTGTGTGT